ATCAGTTATCAGTCAAAAATGTCTTTGTAACATTAATGTTACCTTTTACTGGAACTAAGGGGCCAAATACAAGCCCTGTAAAACAGCCCCAGACCATTATCCCTCCTCCACCAAACTTTACTTTTGGCACAATGCGTTCCAGTAGGTAGCAGTCTCCTTGCATCCGCCAAACCCAGATAAATCTGACTACCAGACTCAAGAGAACATGAGGCCACTCGTCAGAGTGCTTTACACCACTCCAGCCGACGTTTGGCATTATGCATAGTAATCAGGGGCTTATGTGCAGCTGCTTGGCCATGGAAACCTATTTGATAAAGGTCCTGACACATGGGTCTTCTGCTGATGTTACTTCCACAGGTGGTTTGAAGCTAGGTGATTTTTACATGCTACATGCTTCAGCACTCGGCTGAGCTGTTGCTGCTCCTAGGCGCTTCCATTTCACCATAATAGCACTTACAGTTAACTGGGGCAGATCTAGTAGGGCAGAAAATTGATGAACACACTTGTGGTAAAGATCCTATGACAGTGTCACATTTAAAGTCAATGGGCCTTATTCACCAACCATTTTTAAGAAAAATTTCTTCTTAAAACCTGCTTACGCAGTTTTTATGAAGATTCTGACATTCACCCATGCTTTCTTTTTTTGCCATTTGTTCTTAGGTAGGAAGAGAATCTACGGACACTTGAGCACAAAGGGGCCAATAATTCTGCAGTTTAAGAACATGTCATGAATCTTAAGTAGACTTTTTCTTAGTACCTTTCTCAAGAACAGATTTAAGAAAAAACTTAGGAAGATATTGGTGAATGAGGCTGAGCTCTTCTGTATGACCCATTCTACTGCCAATTGTTTATGGAGATTTCATGCCTGTGTGCTTAATTTTATATACCTATTAGGAATGGGTGTGGTTGAAACACCTAAATTCAATAAATAGGAAGGGTGTCCACATAGCTTTGGTCATATAGCACATATATAACATGTTCATGGCCTGGCACCATAGCTGAACAGGAGCATGATGTCTTGGTCTCTTTCTCTGGCTAAGAATGATACAATAACAACAACTTTGCTGGCTTCATGCAATGTCAAGCAAGTGGGCCTCATATCTGAGATCTTTATTAGCTGCTACTGATATATTTCGGTGTCCTGCCACGTTCCCTGTGAGCAGCTCTTCATCCTGCCAAGAAGCAGGTAATATTACCACCCTATTCAGCGCACTGCCTGATTTACATTTCCTGTTAGTTGGAAAAAAGAAAGGAAAATGCTACATGGGGAGGAACAAATATCGCCCTTTCTCCTGTGCTATAGAAAGTTCAGTAATTCTCATACAGTGTGCTCATCAATAGTTACTCCATCTCATTATTGTGCATTTGTTTGTTTATGGTCACCGCAAATTTTTAATTTCATAAAGGAAGTCATGAACAGAGCTCTGTGAAATAGTCAATAACTGCATCCGCATGTCAGTCAAATGTGCTGTCTGCTTACTGCCTGACTGCGAGACATCATCATACGCAGCAGCAGCATTGGCCAGCCTTTTGGCCAGGGATTGGTTTAACAAAACAAAGCCTGTCTAAATGAGTCAATATCACACTCAGGAGACCATGGAAACATTCTGTGAGTTGACAGACATTGATAGGATCTACAAAACAGTATGTCAACCAGCTTCTCGGTGTGGGCTCTCCTGATTAACATTGTTTCTGTCAACACAGCGGTGCCTCAACAGTCTACTGCATGCTGTCTTTTTGGATACTCTTCTTTTTCTCACTTTCTTTCCCCGCAGTTTCTCTTCAGCTGTTACACTAAAGTTGAAACATGCCTTTCCTTATTCAAACCTCTGTCTTCTAGATGCATAATGCTGGAAAACAGTTGTTCATCTTGCTAACTTAATGTGTAGAAAGTCTCAAGCAGCTGGTTGTGTACATTTTGTCATTTCTGCAGCAAACATTCATTAGAAGTTATGCCACAGTGATTACTTTCCTCCTTCAGAGCGGTGCATACGTGGTAGTCGCTGACATTTCTTAAAGAGCAGTGAGAGAAAGTTCATTTATTTTTCATCTTGTGGCTTTGCTTGGGTCATTGTGTTTGCTGATTATGTGGTGTGATAATGGGAGACGCTTTGAGTCATTTCAAAATAACCATGTTCCACAAATCCATGTGAGTGCAGATGCATGGATTAAGGTCCTTGACACTTTCGACAGTGTGATTCATTTGACTGTTTCAAAGCTTTTAGCAAACAATTCATTCAGTGACTAATGTAATGCTGCAGGCAGATTCTTTGAATATATTGAGAAAAGTCTGAAAAGTGCATCTGATATTAGACAGTGGAGATTACTCAAAGGAAAGGAACACTTTAGTTCTAACAGAATTCAGGAAAGACAGCAGTACCCATGAAAACACTGCTGTAATCTCGTAGTGGAATCAGCAAAATCAACCCAGCAATTGCCTGTCGATGGTGGACATTTTATCACCATTATGTGGCTTGAATCTGACAAGCTTGTCAACCATGGTGATAAACAATTGATTGGACAAAAGAACTCCATTAATGGAATTGTATTCAGTGCTGTTCGGAGCCATTGTGCTCCAAAGCTGCTCTTGTGTTTTTCCCTCTATTAATCTCATCATGAAAGATGATCTCTTTCATTAATTCGTCATTTATCTAATATTCTTGTCTAATTGCGGTGGAGCGATGTCCGTCTGCTCTGGAGCAAGGAAGAGAGTGAAAGAAAACAGGTGTTGGTGAGGGCAAATCGAATTTAGCTCTGTAAGTGAAAGCTAATTGAGATCCCAATTTCAATGATTAAGCTGTCTGTCGAGTATAATGTCACTAATCACTCATGTAGACGAAGCATCTTGTCTTTCTCATGTCTAGTTGCTAGACCTCAGTCTTGTTAGTAGGCCATAACAAAAGGCAAAATATGTTCATTAGCTTTTTTTGGTTCAGAGGCTTTAGCTGTTTTAGCCTGAAGACATATCCAGGAGAATATTCAGTTAATTTCCAGATAGTATTTCCATGAGCCCACGGAAGGACAGGCTTTTAAGGATGGGCTTTTTCACACATCTTTGGCTGCGGTGGTCACAGTGGCTTTTCATCTGTGCCAGTAATAGAGTTTTTTTTTCTTTCTTTGTCTTTCCATTCTCAGACCTTCTGCAAGGGACTAAGCAGATTTTACACTAAAACCGTGACATTTTAAAACTAGATGTCTCTTTCACAAAGAAAAATGAATATCTTCACAGCATAGAGCATAGAGTCTCAGTTTGGGCCTACAGCCTTGGGTCATCTGGAATTAAACTCAGAAACTAAGTGATGCATAAGATGACAAAAACACATTTGCCTAGCAGTCACATACATAAAAACAAGAATGGATCTGTTCCAAACACAGATGTTTGAAAAGAAACCTACTGTTTAGGTTTAATGGACTTAATCAGATTGCATTCATGTCATGTCATAATTTTGTGTCATTTCATAATGTCATGTCATGTTTTATACAACAGTTCCAACAACACAATTGGACTGGTTGAGAATCGTTCTACCCATTCTATTATTTGAGATAGCAGCATGTATTTTTTTTAATGGTATCATTCTGCTGAGCACCGCTTGCTAAGTAGCGACACACTTTACGGTGCAGATGACCAAGTTTCTACATTAACACATACAAAACAGAAAACAGATAGGTTAGACAACATTTATACGATAAATGTTATCAGCAGCCCATTTGTTCAGATTCTGAAGAAGAGTATGAAAGCATATCTAAATCAAATTACAAACCTGTCTTTGTCCCTAAGCAGTCTTTTTAGTTTGCAGCTGTGACAACAGAACAAATAAACAAACTGGAATCAGCAAGAAATTAAATTACAATTCAGCAACAAAGATGGGCTGTGAAATGCTTTATAGACTGGCTTGAACAAAACAAAATTCAGGTTAATCTGGCAAATATTTAAAAAGTTGAGCTGAACCTGTTATTACAACAGTTTTATGGCTCTATCTGTAACATAAAAGGCTACTACTTTTTTAGCAGAAGGAATTGCCAATATTAAAGCACATTTCTTATACCGTTTGGGGCTAATTTGGTTGACTTCTTTCTTAATCATGCAGAACTTTGGCTTTGGCTCATGCCTGTAATGCTTCCTTTCATATTCTGTTGCTTAATAATAAATAATTTTACATTTAGATACATAGTCAGACAATTCCTCTTTTTGATGGCTTTGTTTTTTTACCATCTTAGTTTATTGCCTAAACAGAAACATGTAATTTATGCATACTATGTATCACATATTTCATATTCAGTCAAATCACAGACCTCAGCCTCGGTAGAATTACACTGCATCTCTCTCACAGGGCCCCATAAATCCATTTCCATTGATTGAGGGCTCTGGCTTAACCTGTTAAGTCACAGTTAACACGTTTTGTCAGGTTTAGGCTTTCCACAAAGTCTTTATTGTATTTTATTTTAGGCTTGGAATGTTTGTCATAAAATAAGTTCTGTATTAAAGAAGTAACTTTTAGAAAAGATGCAAAAATGCAGCTTCCACAGTGCACTTCATAAGACCCCTAACACCAACATATGTGAAGATGTTCCAGATCCTTTTAAAATTATCATTAAAATATCACACTATAATCAGCTTTAAAATGGAACAAGAGACATGCAAAATAGGAAAAGGTGAAATTACAGCGGATTAGAGTTTTTGAAACCAATTAAACAACTTTTTTGATTGTGGTTTCATTCATAGTGTTTCTTTTAGTTTCTAACTTCTTACATGATCTGATTATGTAAACAGGGAAGAGTGAAGACTTATGAAGAAGAACTGTGACTATTATCTAGAACTAATGACTAGTAGTGGACTGTCTGTGGTTTGAACCTGAGGCTTTTGAAGCCTTATTTACAACACCCTGTTTTCAGCTTGCTGATTTAGTCTACTAAATCCTCATTGTCATTCTGCCTTAACTCTTGTTTTAGTCTGTTTTTTTAGTTTTATAAACTAATGATGACATTTTTCTTGCTGTTAGGGTTGGAGAAGGTCGGAAGGGACTCCAGCTATGAACAGGAGGGGAAGGTGCAGTTCGTGATGGATGCTGTGTATGCCATGGCCCATGCTCTTCACCGCATGCACCGAGACTTATGTTCTGGATACCCGGGACTTTGTCCTAGAATGAGCAACATTGACGGCAAAGAGCTGCTGGGTTACATCCGCAATGTCAGCTTTAATGGTGAGTTTGTTGCTCTCCTCTGCAGCTAACAAACTCCTTTCCCCTCCCTCAGCAGCAAGTTAACATGTATTGTACTTCGTCCTATTTTATTTAGACAGTGTACACATTATATTCAGATTAATGAACTACTTAGTCAAAATTTATTTGATTCGCAATATTGTTAGGATTTGGTTTAGGATTAGAACCAAGATTAGGTTTGGGTTTTGGGTTGACGTTAAGGTTAGCATTACAGTGAGTGCTGCATATAGGGTTAAGGTGATGCTGATATTTAGCTTTGTGTACGTTAATGACAGAGTGGCAATCTACAAAGTATCTATGGTGGACTATCAAAATAAACTGTTTCTCTGTATTTGAACAGAACTCTGATTACAGTTTCACTCTATGAGACTGTGTTATGTGTAACATTGTAACAACTCCTTGTGCATTCAGCAGTTGTATGTTATGTATCTTTTTAAAGTAGATCTTTAAGTCACGGAAAAACAGCTTCTGAGTCTCCAATTCCCTCCTATGTCTTCTTTTTCGTCTGCTCATTTCTCTGTGCTGTTTGGCACTCTTTGCTCATTTTCTTCATCTGTTTCATTTGAGTGGATCTTCACCCCTGAAAACATTCATTTGTGCTCTGCTCATCTGTTATCTTGTTGCTTGGAAAAGCTCTGTGCTGTATTTCACATCCTCAATTCCAAAACAGTGGGGAGAGTATGTGAAAAGCTAATAAACCAGATAGCAGTGATTAGTAAATTCTGTTTGACATTTATTAAACTAAAAACAGTGCAAAAGCATATTTGATGTTTGACCTTTTGAAATTAATTGTTTTTTGGTAAATATAAGCTTATTTGATACCTGCAACGCATTCCAAAGAGCATGGAACAGGTTTTCCACTGTGTTACATCACCTTTTTTGTAACAGTACTTAATATTCATTTGGGGACTAAAAAAAAACACCAGTTGATCCAGTTCTGAAAGTTGATTTTTTTGCCATTATTCCATTATACATTCCATTATTGTCTTCAGCTGTGCAACCTCATTTTGTATTTTGCGCTTCATAATTTGCCACACGTTTTCAATTGAAGACAGGTCTGGACTGCAGGCAGGGCAGTCTAGCACCCACAGCCTCTGATTATGCATACATGCTGTTGTAAAACATGCAGAATGTGGCTTGGCATCATGTTAAAATACATATACTGGACACCCCTAAGAAATGTCATCTAGAAATCTGCATGTGTTGCCCCAAAATGTGTATATGTCTTTAATTGTTAATGGTGCCTTCCTAGATGTGCACGTTACCCATGCCATGGGCACTAATACACCCCAATGCCATGACAAACCCCAGCTTTTGTTACCAGTTACCAGTGTAAAGTTCAAAAGGATTGTCATTTTGTTCTTAGGCCTGGAGAACATGTTATTTCCATAAACAGTCGGAAAGGTTCACTCGTCAGACCACAATACACGTTTCCGCTGTACAGTCCAGAACAATTTGTTCTGTTTCTGGACGTTGCTGATATATGTCTTCTACTGTGCATAGTATAGGCTTAACTAGAATTTGTGGATGCAGCAACTAACAGTGTTTATTGACAATAGTTTGTCAAAGTATTCCTGAGCCCATGTGATGATATTCATCACAGAAGCATTCTGGTTTTTCATGCAGTGCTGCCTGAGGGATCGAAGGTCACAGGAATTCAGTTGTTGTCGGCCATGCCCTTTTGCACAGAGATTTCTTTGGATTCCCTGAATCTTTTGATTATGTTATGCACAATGGAGGATGAAAAACCTACAGTCTTTGGAATAGCTCATTGAGGAATGTAGTTCTTAAACTGTTTGATTATTCGCTAAAGTATTTTGTGGCACAGTGGCATGTCTCGACCCATACTTGCTCATGAAGGACTAGGCCTTTTCCTTTAGGAATATTATTTCCATACAAAAACATTTTCAAAAACAGAGTACAAAGACACAAAAATCAATATCTATAATCAATATTCTACAATTCACAATATTACACTGTTCAATTATTTACATTCAGAATGATGTAACATTGATTAAAAGTCCAGCAGAGTCCAGGGGAACTTTTTCTTCCCTGGAGTGTCTGTTGTTCGCAGTCTTTTGATCTCACACAGTATCCTGGATGCTCCTTTTATACCAAGCATGATTGCATCACCTATATAACATGTATTTTCACAATGTTTCTAGGCTTAAATTGCATCTGTCCCACCTTTTTTGGAACACATTCAAGGCATCAGTTTCAGAATGACCGTATGTTTACAAAAAGCAATAAAGTTGATAAGGTAAAATTTTAATCTGGCCTTGTTTCATTTAAACACATCAAATCACTTTCTGATTTTATTTATATTTCACATACTGTCCCAACTTTTTTTGGAATTGAGGTATGTAATATACTAATGCCTAGAAACAATCATCTAGCATGGTGATGCTCTTGTAGAACCGCCTTGTTTTCTTCAATATTATTTCTCCAGCTTTTGAAGAAGTGTTTTCAAACTGACTTTGGAACATTTAAGGTATTCATTCATTCTGTCACCATTCAAAAATGTTTATGCTGTAAGTACGTTTCATCATTTCACCAATTTATTCCAGTGTTGTTCTGATTGCTCTTCAAGCATTTTGATTTTCATATTTTTGTCAGTACACTGTCTGTTTGCAATGCATGAAGTCATGTTACTTTAAAATCTGCTTTACATTGAGTTCAGCTTTGTGGCAGAATATTTTTGTATTTTGCCAGGCATTAATAATCAGCATTTTAAAATATTTGCTTTCTTTGTCATCAACCATGTTTTCATGTCATGGCAGCAATTGATTTTAACTGCCATTTCCTACACTTCAAAGGGACCCAAAAAGACAGTGCTTTGAAATATGCTGCTTTGAGTTTTGGTGCGCTGTGATTTCTTGTTTGAAGTTTTTATTTTGCAGTTCTGGTCTTTAATAACCTTATATCAGTCAGTGCCAACATTGTGATGTAAGGGATACTGAGCATTATTTCCCAGTATGCTTGCCAAAAATGCTTTTGCACCAGGTAATCATCTTTTTTTCTAAACTCTTGTGCATTATAGAATAGAATATGAACAAAATGTTCCTCGATCACCGAAATCCTGACTGACTGTTACCTTTCTGTTGACTTTGCTTCAGTCTTTATTTCCACTCCATAAAACATTCTCATGTGGGTCAGATAAAGAGTCAGATATAGTTTAGCCAGAACGACTTGAGCTCGTCTCTTTTCATTCAGAATCCAGTCTTTTGCAAACGTTCTCTTTTCACAGCCGTGACTCACTCAAGGACAGCGTTTTCTTACTTACACATTCTTTTCTTTTGCTTTTATTTCAAGGCTCTGTAAGACTTTTTGAATACCACTATAGCTTTTTAATATGATTAAGTTATTTGATGTATGTATACATAAATGTATATGTATACGTGAATGTTACAACTAGGCTTTCAGCTAAGGCCTTAAATATTAAAACTGAGTCACAAAAAAACACCTCTACAGTAATACTAATTTCTACTAGCTTCCCTAAGGGATTTCTAGCAGTTACTGCTAAGCATGAACCAGCATGGCTGTTCTAGATTAAACACCATCATTTGAAGCTGGGTCCATTTATTTTATTTGAAGCTTGTAACACACATTAATGTAGATGTATGTTGCAGTTTTACAGTGACTCATTCATTAAAGAGCTCTGGCATAAATCTGCTGCAGTTGTTTTCCATTTCTAACAACTGACTGCAACATTATGGTTTTGCTACCTCTTATATGAGAGATGTTTGTCCTCATGATAATGTTTCCACTCACTGTAAATCAAACCGTGATATGTTGATTCCACTCTCCGTTCCTGATTATTCTAAATTATTCCTAACAATTAATAGTTATTGTTGTTGTTTAACTTAATTATAAATCATTAATAGGCCTGGATTTAATAAAAAGCACTGCACAATCCTAAATTTTAATGACAGAACCTATTTCTTATTTCTTTACAGCCAAATTGGCCAATTTTTTAAGCAACAGACAACAAAAAAAATGAACATTGTTTATTTGCACTTTATCCAAAGCTTGCACTTTGCAGGCAGATGAATACACTGATATAAAACACGAAATAGTGGGTGGGCATAATACATACAACGATATTCAGTGCACATGGACTGATCAGCCAGCATAAAAATAAACTGGCCAAGTCAGATTAGCTGAGTTTGGCAGAGCCCAGTCATGCAACCCAGTAATAAGTCTTCTTAAGACAGTTTGTTATGCTTTATAATTGTAGGAGCAAGTAAAATGTCACATCTTTATTAAACTCGTTCTTAGCTATTTGAATTGAACTGGCATTTTCTCACAGTCATTCTCTAGATGCAGTGTCTCGAGCCCCTGAACAGCCATCATTTAAACTTCCTCATCCGCTCCTTATGTTGCATTTCACACCTCTGTGTTAAAGCATATGTGCCTGCCTCATTTTCATTTTGCCCAAAGAATATGCTTTCCTACCACCCCCTCCCTTCCTTTCCCCACACATACCACCTGAGCATAAGATTAGAATACTTATCTCACCTTTGAGGGTGTGAAGACGAAATTGGAAGACGGATTTCACAGGCTTTTCAGAGCAGAGCTGTCTTCACTGCTCGATTGCATAGCTCTGCTTAATGAATGTGAAAATGTGGTTTGAAGGGTTTACGCCTCTGAAAAATAACATTGCATTAAGCATGGCTGTGACCATGGGGCCAGCGCAGTAATCTGTGTTCACTCAAATGTCAGTAAATTGTTGATGCTTGTGCTCAATAGGATTAGTGTTCTGTTACTATCATGACACATGGGTATTTCTTCTTTATATATAGTTTGCAAAAATGTGGACTGTGATTGTGTGTGTGTGTCAGGGGAGTGGGGGTGTAACGATTCTCAGCATTATAAATTCAATTTGATACGATACATTGTTGTTGATTCAATACATTTTTCACTACAGGAGTGGCTAAAAATGTGCCTTGTGTTAATATGTTAATGTTTCCATGTTCAGTTTA